TTAGCTTCATGCCTCGCACCTCTCGCCTGTAGATTTATCTTCCTATTACTTGATTCCCTGATAGCTATAATCTCCAACAATTCAAATGTAATGTCAATCGATATCTCCAGATACCGTGACCTGTTCTATGTCTTTCTCTTCATCCTTTCCTACATCAGGCCTGTTTACTCTCGCTCCCACTCTGTAACCCCTTGCGTACAAGTGGCATCTCGCCTTGCTTGGGGTGAAATGCTTAAAAAAAGTAAAATATATATATATATATATATATATATATATATATATATATATATATATATCCGGTCCATTTCTTCTTAACCTGATGGCCTTGTAAACCGTTGTAAATTTTAATTTATAAGGAAAATTGATTATCATCAATATTATGGTGTAATCTTAATTCCTATTCTTTACAATATGTATATATACGAGGGTCATTCAATAAATAAGGTGAGTTTTCCCGTATAAGGACTTCTAATACAGATAGAAGCTTACTTTTTTGTTTTTTGTTTTACTTCTTTTTCACATGGATTTAATTTCTTTTGCTGATTAAAAAAAGTTTGAGAGTTTTGGCAATTAACAAAGATGGCCGACCAAGAAGCATGGTCCAGGATTGAACAGCGGTCAGTTATCAAGTTTTGGTTGCTAAGTGTGCATACCAATTGAAATTCATAGAAGAATGTCAACTGTATATGGTGTCACATGTTTCAGCCAAAAAAATGTCAACAAGTGTGGTAAATTGTTTAAAGAAGGACGGAGCAGTGTTGAGGATGAATACAGGCCAGTGTGGCCTACTGAAGTGACGGTCTCCTGAGGTGATCGAATCAGTCAATGATCTCATTCAATCTGACAGAAGAACTACTGTGAACTACTGAGGTAGGTCAAGAAAGACATAAAGAACAAACGCAGAGGTCATCAGTCAGAAGGAGTCATCTTGCATCATGACAACGCAAGGCCTCACACAGCAGCCCAAACGGTGCAGACCATCAACGAGCTGGGCTGGGAACATCTCCCTCATCCCCCCTTACAGTCCAGACCTTGCCCCCTTCAGACTTTCACCTGTTTGGTCCCTTGAAAGCGTTCACGAGAGGCACGAAGTTTAAAAGTGACGATTATGTCAAAAGTGGTGTGAGTGATGAGACATCAGTCCAAAGATTTTTACGCTGCGGGAATACGGAAGCTTGTACAAAGATGGGAAAAGTGTGTGAACGTGCTGGGAGACTACGTTGAAAAAAAAAAGTAAGCTCCTATCTGTATTAGAAGTCATTGATACGAAAAATTCACTTTGTTTATTGAATGACCGTCGTATATATATGCATAAATATATATATATATATATATATATATATATATATATATATATATATATATATATATATATACAATATATATATATATGCATACAATATATATATATATATATGCATACAATATATATATATATATACATACAATATATATATATGCATACAATATATATATATGCATACAATATATATATATATATGCATACAATATATATATATATATATATATATGCATACAATATATATAATATATATGCATACAATATATATATATGCATACAATATATATATATATATATATATATATATATATATATATAGTGCATGTATGTATATACGCATATATAACCATACAATATATATATATATATATATATATATATATATATATATATATATATCCATACAATATATATTTACATATATATGTGTCCATACATTATTTATACATGCATGCGTGTGTGTGTGTGTGTGTGTAATTTAATTTGTTTATCTCGGGAAATTAATAATACTGAAAAATATAAAGGAATCTCATAACCTCTTAAATAAAAGAAGGGAATTGATTAGTAACTGGCTGCATAGATTAAAGTTTTTACACGTTTACCCAGATTAAGTTTTTCTTCTTCTATTTACTTTTATTGTACAAAAAACATTACTTTTCGATGATAACGCATTCACCATGTTTGTCTTTCATTTTATCCATTACCTTATGACTACCATTTTCAGATTATAAATATTATTATTTTTATTTTATGCTTTACTTATCTCACGATCAGAGAAATGTTTATGTATTTATCTACTTTTTTTATTATTAAGTCTTCATTTACTTACGTCTTTTATTTATTTCAATTATTATTTGTATAATTATGTTCCTCTCAATGGCTTTTAGTTCATTTCACCTTATCTTAACTTTTTTTAACGTCATATCTTATAATTCCATTATTACTGTAATCAATATTCTTGGGTTTATTTTTCGGCATATTAATATTGATAATAATTCAATTATTTATTACTCTATTGATTCCTGGAAAAATAGAGTTACCCACCTCTTTTATTTTCTTAACACCATTCACGAATTGTTATTAACGTTTCGCTAAATTAAAATCTCTCTCTATATATATTTTATTTGTCATTTCCAAACAACATTTCCATCTTAAACTTTGTTCTGCGCCCAACTTAAATTTCAAAAGCAAAAATTGTTCGCGTCAATTTGTATTTCTATTTAAGGTTATTATTCAGTTTTAATTTATTTTTTTAATTTTCCTTATTTTATTTTATTTTATTATTATTTTCATATGTTGTTGCATTCTTATTCTTCTTTTCTTACAATTACTACTATTACTAGTAGTAATTTATTATGCTTACTTTCCTTATTTTACGAATGTATATTGTTTATTTTTATAGTATACTATATAGTATACTAGCAGCATGGCCCGGCGTTGCCCGTGCTTGATTCAAAAATCGTACGACTCATACAGCAATCGCTATCACTTGATTTAAAATATTTCTGCCCTTCCTAGCCTTTAAAGGAGTGACCTTTGCCGTGTTGATGTTGCTACATGCCTTACTTCTTGCCTATCTCACACTGCGAATTTTTTCTAAGCTCTATACTAAACATTAAATCTGTTACGAAAAAAGAACTAAACAAAATTAACACACAACGATCGGCTTTAAAAAAGAACTTGTAACTGGAAAAACGGAATGAAAAAAACAATGTTAACAACGAATATTTTTCACACCGAACCAAGATTCCTGTAATTATGAGACTGGTCATACTACTTGGGCGGGGTTGTTGTTGCCCTTGTTCTGTTAACCCGGTACTTTGGAAACGATACATTGATCCGATTTTAAGTTCAAATAAAAAGAGCTCAAAAGTGTTTAACAACGCGAAGTCAACTGCACAGAGTCCAAAATGATTTGAAAAGCTTAGATATACTGGGCCGCGTAGTGCAGGCGAGACATTAAAACCCCCAAAAGCCGTATCACCTGTGAGTTAATCGTTTCTTTTTACAAAGTTTGAGTCCCAAATAAAAATCGGGTTCCGGCATGACACAATGACGTAAATTGAAAAATCGGATCTAGGATGCGGCCTGGGAGCAGGCTACGTAAAGTTGGCCGTGTGAGAATCACTGCTCCTCTAAGTGGACACCAGTGACAGACAGACAGTGTTTGTCCTTGGGCCTTATTAATTGTCATATCAAAACAGGTGCGACTGAGAATTGTGATCTTCTAAAATTGAAGGGTACTTCGGCACCTGATGGATACAAATGCATCCTTGGGGTACTCTCTTGCTACCCTATACAGCAGCCAGTTATAATTTTGGCGTGAATAAGAATACTGGTTCCATTACAGAGTTTCGGTGGACGCACGTTTCTATGCAACATAACCGGTATCCCCACTTTAAGTTCCAGAATGTGAGGAGGGAGACCAGCGAGGTGGAGGCTGTTTAAGAACTACAATGGAAAGTTCGCCATTTCAGCGGGGTCTGGAGTTCTGTCAATGGATTTGTAAATGTGCAACACCCCTGGCACAGTTTCAAGCCATCAACACAATATTGTAGACAACCCCTGGGCGTTTACAAATCCATTAGTTTCCGCTGCAATAATAGCTTCGTCAAGGGCTAATAATGAATTCGAAAATTCGGCGGGCCCAACATCGCCAGGTAGTTGAGTACGCATGTTGGTAATGTGCAATGGTCTAAAAGTGGGCCAAATGTTGTGACGATTTCAAGCACGGTCGAATAGCGTCGGACTTCGTCCCCTTAGTTACAACGGGGAGGATCTGGCCAAAGTCACCGGATAGAAGGACAGTTATAGTTCCCATAAGGTCATCGGAGTTTCGAATATCCTTTAGAGAGCGGTTTTCAGCCTCGAGTGCAATTTTGGGACTGACAGTGCACTCATCCCAGACGATGAGCTTACATCGCCTGAGTACCTCCGCTAGACCTGATTGCTATACTGCATACAGCTGTTTCTACATTAATCAGGTAAAGCGGAAGTTTAAACTTAGGGAGAACTGCTCGGCCACCCGGTAGTAATGTGGCAGAAATGCCTGAAGACGCTACTGCTAACGCCACTCCAACATGGCTCCGAATTTATGCAGGATGCAGTTTCGTTACGAAAGTTTTTCCCGTTCCCGCAGGCTCTTCCAAGGAGGAAAATTGATCCTATATTCTGCCTGGTGGATGCAAGAACCACATTGTAAGCGGCCCTTTGGCCTATGAGAAGATTTGGCTCATTTGTTGTGACTAAAGCGTTGAGCTCCTCAACAAAGTATGAGGTCTCCCGCACAATATCTGGTGAGAGTCTGGAGGAAGCCACACGATCTGGCGTTGGAAGCCCAATAGCGTCGAGAGATTCCAACCCTCATTTCAGGAAAGAGGTTCTTAATGATTATAAGCACCCTGTTGTAAATTTCATCGTTGAATGTAAGAGCCATTGTTGGACACAGCAGTTGCGCTTCTCTGAATATATCTTCGGACAAAAAGTCCTTGTATTTGTCCCAAAATGATTTGGGATCACTGGGCTCGCACATTTGTAAGATTGGGGTGAAGAGGCGGCGCAAACAGAGGGCATTTTTAAAAGAGCACCCTCAGCCATTGTGGCATCCCACTTGCTGTCGTCTTCCAAAAGTCTGATCGGCCGTACTTACGAACGTATGTCATCGCGTCTTGCGTTGCATGTAGTATGCACATCTTGCCTATATTGCGTGGATCAGCGTTATTTCGTAAAGCATCACGGAGGGGAATGCAAGAGTCGCAGCGCAACTTGGACTGATTCCATCGGATGTAACAGAGTCTTTCGGGTTCCATCTTAGCAGCCATGAATGATGGAAAATTTCCCGGCATCGATGAAGATGATTGTATGCACCCTCATGAACCATCAAGAGATAGGCGTAGAAAGACCTGCAAGACACTGTTTTTAAGGTGGATACATTTTGCAGTATACCATAGTGGTACCCATCTTCTCCGAAAAAGAAGAGAAGGGGGTATTGCAGTGCATTGTAGGACCGGTACGTTTCACTGATTCTTCGGAGCCCACTGCCGTGCGATTCGATAACAATGTCACGTCTGTTGTGCTGATTACCGCTGACAATGACGGAAACTTCGTTATTTGCGGGAGCATTGTAACGACGTTCGTGCTCTCCCTGAAGCCGTTTGTCGGCATCAAATACAATAATGAAATCAGAAGAAGTGTTATTTTTGAGAGCATACTTAAAACTGCGGACATAGCTGTTTGTCTCGTGGAGCATTTGTTGGAGATTCATTATGATATCACTGCGAGGATGATTGTCCTGGCCTGTATCGTTCTCGGGTATAATGCCCATGCGGGTATCTGTCTGTTGATTGTAGTCAGCTATGAAGTATATTTGTAGAAAGGACGAATCAGTGGCAGTTTTCGGCAAAAGGGACCCAATCCCGTGGTAAACCTGATCGAACTTGAACGTTGAAAGTGGGATTCCAACCGATTTCGCGGAAGGCATTACCAACAAAACAGCTCATCTAGAAGGCACAATTGTAATATCTGATTTTTATGAGGAAATGTTTGGAGTCTGCATCGCGTTGCCGCCTTCTGCGCTTTTGCGCGGAACTTTCCGACGACCTTACCGTAGTAGTTGCAGCGGCCTCTGATGCTTGGCGTGCGGATTTCTCAGCCATGGATTCCTGGGACCGTCGAATGGACGTTGCCGCAGATTTCGCTGCGTTACGTGCGGTTTTCTCAGCCGTGGTCTCCTCGGACTGTAGAATGTATGTTGCAGCGGCGTCGGCTGCATTGCGAGTAGCTTTTCGATGTGGACTCTGACGAGACCGAAAAAGCGCTTGTGATGAAGCCGCTTTTTTGTAGTCTTGCAAGCGTTTAGGTAGTTTCCTCTTACTTTTCAAGGAATATGTGGAAAATGATTAGCAGTACAAACGGTAATTACGCTCAATGATTCATGTGACAAAACCTACTGCCTCCGTTGAGATTGACTGGAAAGCTGCAAAGAGGCCTCTACCTCGGTTTCCTCCTCCCGTTTTCTCTTTGCCGGAGAGGCTCATGTAGAACCCTGCTAAGTTTGACTCGCCATGGTATTTTGGCACGCTTAGCAAAGCTGCCGAGTCGGTCTTCGCCACGGTACTCAGAAGTGTGCAAAGCAGAGGTTGAAGTAGATGCCAGCCTCTTCTCCCCCTAGAAGGCGCACTCAATGGAATCCTGCTCCCGTTTCCCCTTAGCAGGTGAGGTTTTTTTAGAACGCCTGCTATGGTTGCCTCGCCTGGGTGTTTTTGCAGCCTTTGCAGGGCTGCCGGGTTGGTCATCGCCACGGCACGCAGAAGAGTGCAAAGCAGAGGTTGAAGTAGACTTGTGATGAAAACCGCATCGAAATCGGGTGAGAAATTCGGCCTCTGGCGAGGTAACAACTCCCACGACAGACACATAGAAAGACAATATGAGAAATATAGATAGTAGATTATCCAAACAATATATACATATACATATATAGAGAGAAAGAAAGACGGTCATACGTACGCTCGCACAGGCACAGGATCATATGTCTTTGTTTAACAAACACAGAGTCCACCTATAGTTTATATTGCAACTGTGCTGAGCAAACGTTAGTCACATTTGCTGGGGTATAGCTTGTCGTGTAGCGTGATCAACAATCTTAACACGGCCAGCACAATCAAACCTACGGTCACGATGAATTGTGACTTCATGCTAGCACAGTTATCGACGGCTACCAAGTATTCCGTATACAACATTTCAATCACAAGGCTTGTGTCAACCGGCGGTGGTATGGTTTGCCGTAAATTTTTAAAGGGGCCCCACGCTGGAATCGTCCACATGAAAACCGATAAAATCCGGATTTCTCCTTCCTGACAAATCGACAGTGGGGAGATTCGAAACCGGGTATTATATACTATATATATATATATATATATATATATATATATATTTGTGTGTGTGTACAATATATATTTTGCAGATGATATATATACTTATTTATACAGTTATGCTCTACAAAAGTAAATGCCAGAGAACGTTTCCTTTCTCTTCATTTGCATATACTCTTTGACATTACATTTGAATAGTAATATTATAGCAATCAGGATGGAATGGATTTCCACAGACGAGAGATGCGAGACATGAAGCTATTGACGCAGAAGAGACCGCTATATTTAACTGTTTCGACAATAAAAGGATGGAACAGAGATGCCAGGCCAGTAGGACGCTTAAATTCATGCAGTCTGGGAACTAGCCAAAATAATTCGTCAGAGCAGTTACCGTGAATGTATTTGTAGAAAAGACAAAGTCCGTCTGTCGAAGACATTGAGACGAACAGCGGGGCATCAGACCATATATGTCAGCAATATTCCATGCAATGGCGAATGGTTGATTTATAGATTTGAATGATGGAATCAGGCGTGAAAAAAACTTTCTAGCGCGAAACAGGGAATCAATTTCGAGTTGGATGAAGCTCATGATTCACTGTATCTGTTACATCATGGTTCAGTGGGAATTTTGAGATCAAGGCGTCAAAAGTGGTGCCCTCGAAGAGTTGAGCATCAGACATTCTAACAGAAGGCAGGAATGGTTCCCTGTGGTGAGTAATAGAGAACAATTTTGTTTTTGAGCCATTAAGGTTAACCAGCCAATTCCTTTTCGAGAAAAACTGTGAGGTTAGTTTGTCAGTGATACCAGATTTGCTTTTGCAAACGCTTGTGTCGTCTGCATAGGTGTTTACTTTGGAGTTGATGACGTCTAGAATATCGTAAAATGAGTTAAGGAAGAGTGTAATACTCACGGTAAAAACTTGGGGAACAACTGCGTTCGTGCAAAAGGAACTAGAGGTGTATCCGTTAAGGATGACCTTCATTACACTTGAGAGAAATTATCATATTAAATCAAATAAACAACTTGAAATTTCGTATCCCTCAAACTTATGAAGGAGACTAGCATGCCAAACCCTATCAAGCGCTTTAGAGATATCTAGAGTCACACGTCACGAGATTCTCGGATATTGTGAAGTGTTTGCTAAACAATTTCAATTTTGGCCGTAAGCACATGAGCTATAAGACAGGCAAAGCGGAAACCATATTGCTCATCAGAGAGCAGATCATGGGATATAAGTTGCTTAACCACTCCGGCGTTGATGAATGCTTCGAAGATTTGCCGAAGTATTGTAGGAGACAAGATATGGCGGTAGTTACATGGGCCAGAAGATTCTCCATAGTTATTAGAGAAAGGAACAATATATGAGAACTTCCAACGAGCTGGAGATCAAGAATCATTGTAGCAGTAGTGATATAATTTGGAGAGGGCAGTGGCCAGTTAGGGAGCACATATCTTCAGGACAATAGCTTTTATGACGTCTCAACCGCTAGACATATGGGATTCTAATTTAGAGATGATCCCCAATACCAACGAAGGGGTTATGTGCAACTCACTCGATAGAAACTCTGCTCTAAGCGTGGAAATCGGTTGTGGGTACACCGGATGAGTCAAGCGTTGAGTTGGAGGAGAATTTCCGAGTAAATTTTCCGTGACCTTATTGGTTGAACAAATGAGGTATTAAGTGGTTGCTGTTGTTAAATATGCTCTTGGAACCTATTTTCCACTCCTTTTTTTGGCAAAATGGTGTCGAGTATGTCCGGTAATGGCATCGCTAATTTTACTTTCACCATTTAACGACATAAACTCACTTGGTGTGGACACGTTCTCGGACACGACCTCCTATTAACAGTAGAACTCAAAGGAGAAAAAAAAATTGATTAGGAATATTAATGACTGGCCAAGTATGACTTCACCAAATCTTCTCTTGACAACTGCCAAGACAATGGCTTAGCCGTCAAGCGTGTCTTCCGCGCTCATTTTCTCTTTGGTTTGAGTAATTACCAATGTAAAACATGATTCAATTCTACATGGAAATCAGTTTTCGCAATTAAAAAACTTTGAAAATTAAATGTTACTCTTGAATACTAAATGTTAAAAAATAGTATATTTCTCAAAATGAGTTCATGTTAATATATGTGAATTAATATGTTTTTAGACAACATATATTGATAAAATTATTTTCTCTTCCATTATATATATATATATATATATATATATATATATATATATATATAAAGCCACACACACATATATATATATATATTTGATATATATAGAGACATGTACATATATATATATATATAGAGAGAGAGACATGTACACACATACACACACACACATATATATATATATATATATATATATATATATATATGCCGACATCGAATATTATCAAAATGTCAATCTACGCACCGGTTTTTTTCCAACTCTCACCTTTCCTGTAAGTCAACATGCAACAACAAATATGCTGAAAAAAACTTTAAATCAATCACTTCAGCCTTTGAAGATGTGCAGAACAAATGTACATCTCAAACCATGAAACTCTAATCACAATCCATACAATATTCATATTCAATTACTCTTCACCGGAATTTGAATTAGGATATTTTGTGTCCTCCACAGGCTTTTACTGACCTTTCAACTACCTTATGAACATTCATAAAAGTTTTAAATTTAAAAGCTTTGATTAACCACTGGCAGTCTTACCCCTGTGTATATAAACACGAACAGCATAATAAACACTGGCTACGGCAAGCGTGAAAAAGAAATTGAGACCTAAGTTAAATGGAGATAATTGAGACGCCCGGAAGATGTATGACACATGGAACTACAACAATCTACCTCCTGGATGAAATAATGGGTTCAATCACCTGACGAAGGCTGGGTCGTACAACGACCGAAACGTCGTGAATATAGCAATAAACATAAGAACAACTGTCTGGAAAATGTAAATGGTTATATGCCTAATCTCAGAAATATAGACATAAATCTTATATTGTCTGGATAATGACCTCCAGTGGACGAAACGTGTCGGCTAATTTTCATTTTTCCTCTTGTCACTTTTCATTCACACACATACACAAACATAGACGCGCGCACACAAACACAGACGCGCGCGCGCACACACACACACACGCATATATAAATATATATATATTTATTAAAGACATTTTTATGTTTAACGTTCTTTTTATAGATACAAGTATTTAAATATTCGTTCTTTGACAGGATTCGAACCTGCATCCTATACGGAACCGTCAAAGAACGAATATTTTCTATGAAACTTTCTCGGACATTCAGGCCGGTAAATGTTATTTAATACTGTTTATTATAAATAGAGCATTTACTTAAATACTTGTATCTATAAAAAGAACGTTGAAAAAATGTCTTTAATAAATAAATTGTCGGACTTTGTCCATTTCTTAATATATATATATATATATATATATATATATATATATATGTTGGACTCTCCAGTCAGTTTCGACGTACGAGGATCTGACAACTTAATTGATTCACTTAGGAAATTTCGTGCGATAATCTTAAGTGGCACTTAAGACACGCTAGTGATTTACAAAGGAAGCCGCATATTGATAAGAGTAAAGATTGTGGGATGAGATCATTGTTAGATTGGCTGAACTTTTAGATCTTGCTCTCGCTTCTTGAAGACGATTCAGACAAGGTGATTAAAACTGCTGGTACTTGTATGGAGTACACGACGCCGAGTCGTTCAAAATGATGGCAAGGACAACAATATATATATATGATCTCAAACGATCATGGTTCTCAATGAATTCACCTTCTATACTCTTAGAATAGCCACGAATTCATGGAAAATATAGTAGAATATTACCGGTTGTGCTTTCCAAAATGTTGAAATTAAAGTTTTCCTACTCTGGTTACTGTCTCTCATTCAACTCTCTAGAGCTCAATATGAGAGAAGACAGGGATTTATGTCTTTTACTAAAATCTGTCCCAAACTGAATGCAGCATAATATATAAAATGTGAACGTTGCACGCTAATTCTGCATCGATAATCATGATGATACCTGCGTATTAATCATCGAAATTATATGGTGATTCAATATTAATTTATTTCGAATTTCTCTAGTAGAATGAAATTAAATACGGAGATGTCTAAAAGGAGTAGTGGCAATTAATTCGA